AATTGAACAAAAAGTGAGGAAATTTTTGCATGGTGCTGGGCTGGAGCAGTACCACAGAGAATTAGGTCAGAAACAGCTAGGAGAAGAGGCACAGCACTGTAGATCTGCTGCTGTTCTGCAGCTATTCCCAGAGTATCAAAACAGATTGCTTTGGACCTGATCAAATTCTATTAAGATGTGCAACATTAGCTGTGCCCTCTGGCTTCTGCCTTCCTCTCACATGTTTTATGAACTCTATTGCAAATGCCCCCAGGCTTCACTGAGAGAGGCATCACAGTGTTTGTTTCTTTCTTCCCAAATAAGCTCTTTTTTCAAGTACAACAAGCAGTGAAGATGGCAAAGAGCAGATGGCATATGAGTCTGGAGAGGATGAGGATGATGAAGAGGAGGAAGAAGAGGACTTCAAGCCTTCTGATGGGAGTGAAAATGAAATGGAGACAGAAATTCTGGACTATGTGTGAACTCAGTGAGCAGTCTGGCTGCTGTTGGACAGAATCATCTCTGCTCTTATTCCTTGAGTTCTGAGGATTCAACCACCATGCCCAAGATGTGGGAAAGCAGAACCTGCACTAAGATGCTGATGACCTGTCTGCCCTGCTGATGGCTGTCAATCCTGATGTTAGGGAGCCATTGCCTACATTTCCATAGTTGCTGGCCAGTAAGCCCTCAAGCAACCTCAACAAACTCCCAAGAAAGAGCACAGAATCCAAACCAGCTGGCAATACACCAGAAAAGGGGAGAATCACAGAATGTTGGGGATTGGAAGGGACCTCGAAAGATCATCTAGACCAATCCCCCTGCTGGAGCAGGAACACCTAAATGAGATCACACAGGAAGGCATCCAGGCAGGTTTTGAATGTCTCCAGAGAAGGAGAATCCACAACCTCTCTGGGCAGCCTGTTCCAGTGCTCTGTCACCCTTACAGTAAAGAAGTTTCTTCTCAAGTTTAAGTGGAACCTCCTGTGTTCCTGCTTGCACCCACTGCCCCTTGTCCTATCATTGGTTGTCACCAAGAAGAGCCTGGCTCCATCCTCATGACATTCGCCCTTAACATATTTATAAACATTAATGAGGTCACCCCTCAGTCTCCTCTTCTCCAAGCTAAAGAGCCCCAGCTCCCTCAGCCTTTCCTCAGAAGGGAGATGCTCCACTCCCTTCATCATCTTCGTGGCTCTGCGCTGGACTCTCTCAAGCAGTTCTCTGTCCTTCTTGGACTGTGGGGCCCATAACTGGACACAATACTCCAAATATAGCCTTACCAGGGCAGAGTAGAGGGGGAGGAGAACCTCTTTTGACCTACTAACCACACCCCCTCTAATACACCCCAGAAGCTGCATTCCCAAATCTCTCCATGTGTGGGAAGTGCACCTTGGCCAGGTTGGTGGCCATGTGGAAAACAGAAAAGATGCCTGAGGAGCTGCTGCCCTTCTTGTCTAAAGGGAATAAAAATACTGTGCCATGACTTCAGCATTGAGCCTTGCTGGTGATCTTGGAAATAAAGCCAGCAGGAAAACACGTTTTTGTCAGTCAGTAATTCCTTCTGCGGGATGTAGTTTATGTTGTCTTCACTAGCCGATGGACTTCTTTCTGAATTCTGTTTTGACTTCCCCAATAGTTAGCAAGGACTGAAGGGCCACAGAGCTTGACCAATCTAGCTATTAGTTTGCCACTGCTTGCTGGATTGTTATCATCCAGTCACAGAAATTAAGGATCTGATGACATTTTGAGTCTTGTGCATTCCTGAATGTGTTACGAATGTAAGGTTTCTCATTAGTTGCTGATAATGTGCTCTAATGCACAGTTTCATATGATTTTAGCCTTCTGCACTTGCACAGGGCTTCTCAAGGCTTCAGTATTTTTTAATGTTTTCTGGAGTTTTGTTAGACTGAGATATTTCTTTAGGTTTGGCCCACAAAAGAAGCTGTCAGAGTGACACACAGCTGTGCTCCTGGACACATACGCATATGTATGTGTAGATGTACATCGATTGGTCTGTCTGGGGGCACCTCCAGCCAGGGTGAGGTGTAGGTCCTGGCAATGTGGGAATCCAGAGGTGTGAGGGGCTGCACAACAGACTTACCCTTCTCAAAGCAGTGCAACAGGGCACTGAGAAAAAAAAGGAGAGATGCAGTGGACAAACAGCTGCTGGGTAAGAATATGCACTCAACTATCAGTGGGCACCAAGAATACTTAGAAATATTAGAATAATATTAGAAACATCTAGAAATAGAATAAACACTTAGAAATGCTGGGGAAAACACCTGAAGCCAAGCTTTCTGTCAACAGAAGGCCCAAGGCCAAAGCAGTCAGAAATCACTTGTACCAGAGTTCATTTATTTCCCAGCTGTTTTCAAAATTCCTCTATCTGGGAAGACTGCAGCTATTTGGATGGTTAATTCTCCCTGAGCAGGTAACAGTGTTACCAGCCCTGTCTGTACAGTATCACCCTTTCATTTCCAAAAGCTCGGGCTTTAAACTAATCTATGTAGCCAAAGGCACAGAGAAATCCTGGATAGTGCAGCTGCATCTTTCATACCCACACTCAGAATCACCCCACCATCCAAGTAATCTCCACTAACGTCTGTGCAACTATAAAATAGAAAATAAACACGCTGGCCATGTCAGGAAATGAGCCCTTCAATACTAAAGGAATGATACCTCAAACCAAGGCAGACCACATCTCCACACCATAAGGACCAACCATTGCATTTGCTCTTACAGCCATTGCTTCTATCAAAAGGAGTAAAACCAATAAATTGGACATCACATTTATGCAACTGGAAAATGCAACTAAAACAACTCAATAGGGTTCCTTTGAAATTTGGGCACTAGTCCCTCAAACAAAAAGCCTGTATCTTGCTTCAAACACAAAACAAAGCTCAACTCAGCAGAGGTAATGACAGGCCCAGGTGCCAAGTCCTCCACAGTCAGGTCCATTCCTCTTTCTCCAGGAACATGCCGGGAAGGAGGACAGGAAAACCCCTGCTTTGGGGCAGACATTTGAGCATCAGTATTTTATTGCAAAGACTAATTACATTGCTGTGTACAAGTCACACCAGGCAGTGTGCTCCTTCATTGAAGTGGTACAAAATACATATGGTACAGCCAGTCCCTTGGGTGATGCTGGGCTGCTGGGGGATACCGGCGGGAGGGGAGGGGGACAGTGGGGACCAGCATGGCCCCAGGGTGAGCAGGAGCTGGTAGGCACAGAGCAGAGGGAAAACCCTGGGGTGCTGGTGCCCAAAGCTTTGGGCAGGGTGGGAGGCAGGAGGCTGCCCCTGCGTCAGGGAGCCAGGAGCTCCCATCATGTGCAGTGTTGGGCGATGCCACCCAAGGGGACACGGGGCTGGGAGAGCTCAGTGCCAGCCACGCTCGCACCCAAGCAGCCTCTTCCCCACCTGATGCCAGGGGCCCACAGCCCAGCTCCTGCCACCAGCCCCAGCCCCACCCAGCATGGCCGTGCAGCGTTGCTGGATCCCCAGGGACCACTCAGGCCCCACTCCTGGAGCTGGGGAAGGTGCTGCACCCGCCTGGCAGCGCAGACAGACAGGAAACAGAAAAGATGTGCTGGAAGGAAGAGCTTAAAAAAATAAAAAAAAAAAAAAAAGAGAGAGATGGAGCCAGGAGCAAAAATAGGTCCCCCTTCAGTTAGTGTTTCCTACAATGATTAAAACAAGCAGCTCTGCCCCTGCTCTAGTGGTAGAGAAACAAGGGAGGGGGTGGCCAGTGGGGTCCATGCCCCACAAGCACAAGCAATGATGCTGCTGCCACTGTCCCTCCCAGCAGCCTTAAATACTGGGGTGGGGAGAGGAAAGGGACTGGGCTGCAGGGCAGAGGGAGGCTGGATTAGTAAAATGTACAAGTTCATCTCTTCTATTTACAACCAATAAATATTGAAAAAAAAAAATCAGTAAACTTTGTTTTATACAAAAAAAAGTCTCATTGCTGCTTCTCCCATGGTCAGTGTTTGAAAAAGTCTGGTTAAAGCCCAAGGTGAGTGGCACTTTCTATGGGTCAGGTGATGGCACCTGGGGCACCCCGAGCTCTCCAGCTCCTCACCTGCCCGTGCAGATCCAAAGTCTCTATTTACACAAGTTCAGACAGAAATTCGCTCTCCTCCTCCTCCTGCTCGTTAGGCTGGCAGCACTGGGGGCATGTCGTGAAGCTTCCCCCACCGGCAGAAGAGACACTGGCGTTTGATCTTTGGTGCAGGTTTGAACACAGGCCGTTGGAAGTCCAGCAGGAGGATGTGCTGGATTGGGGAAAGGAGCAAGACCACACAGGCTTCCACTTGTTGAGAGCACGAGGCTCCTGCTCCATCACGGCACAGATGCTGTCCTTTTCCACTGGGCTCCGAGCACCAGTGCATGGCTGCATCCTCCCCAGCTCGTCTCACAGCCCAGGGCATCCACAGCTTCTCCCAAGGGAGGGACAGGCAGAGATGCGTGGTGGTGGCAATGCCAGTTATCCCAGAGCGGAAGGATGTGGAGGTAAAACAACGCCAGGAAAGCCGGGAAGGAGAGCACTCCACCATGTGGGAGGCTTTGCAGCCCCAAGGTGATGGCTCGTGCTCTGCTCCTTGCAAACGGCCCCTCTGCGAGTCACCATTCCCCGGCTCGCTCAGACACAAGGCACCTACGGCAGAGGTGGGCTCCAGCTCTGGGCTGCCCGGCAGCTGCACTAGTGTTGCACCATGGAAGGTTAAAAAAAAAAAAAACCTTAAAAAAAAAATTAAAAAAAGAAAAAGAAAAGAGAGTTATCCCCTCTGCTGCCTTCCTGTGTAGAAAAAAAAAAGACCTGATTGAAACGGGAGCTTGTGCAGAGAGAGGCAGAGGCCAACACCAGTTGCCAGAGCACCCAGGAGGGAGATGCACAGCCATCCCCCGCGGGCCAGGGTCACTCCTCTCGCTGTGCCGGGCAGCACAAGGACTGGCCACAGCCAAGCCCAGAGCAGCCTGCCCCCAAGGCCCCGTCAGTGATGGGTGGCAGTGGGGCTGAGGCTAGAAGATGCCTTTGGCGATCTTCAGGCCTTTCTGCTTCATCCTGGGCAGGGTGGAGCTGGAGCCGTGCTTGATCTTCACCCCCTTGGAGAAGCCCCGCTTCTTCAGCACGAAGTCATAGTTGGCGGCAGAGTTCATGGCATAGAAGACATTGGCACTGTCAGGGATCTTCAGCTCTGGAAGTGACCAGGGATGGGGGTCAGTTAGGCACGCTTTTCCCAAAAGAGGCCCACAGTTGGGCTGAGAGAGGGACCCCTCTGCTGTCACCTCCCAGCCCAGCTCTGAGCCAGCATTGCCCAGGCTGCAGCGATGCATGGCCAGTCAGGGACACAGCCCCCAGGAAAGCCCCCCGTACCCCAGCACACACCTCTCTCCTCTGAGATGATCTGAACGAGCTCATAGTCTTCAGGCCGGTCCCCATCCAAGTTGTGTTTGGCCATGGCCTTGCGAATAACGACCGGGGTCTTATCCTGGCTCGTCACCTGCGAGCACAGAGCACTGTTAACCCAGGGGCTGCAAAACACTGCAAAGCCTCCCACCACCGTCTCCTCCCAAAATGGGCCATGCCCGTGTTCTAGCGGGGCAAGCCACCCCTCCCCAGCCCCAGTGTCACCACAGGTGCCCCATGCTAACCAGGATGCTCTTGTACATGTTGCCATTGTCCACAGCCAGGCTGACGCGGATGATGCAGCAGTCATCGACCTGCTGGTTGTAGAGGGGCAGCGAGAGGGAGGAGTAGCTGGAGATGCCGGAGACCGAGCGTTTGTGGGTACGGGAGGCTGTCACCGGGAAAAAAGAGCAGGAGCCCCTCCGGGACCCGGAGCCAATACCCGACGTGTCCAGGGAGGAGAGAGAGGTGGACTCCCAGAACTGGAGGGCAGGGAGGAGAGGGGATGCGGAGGACACAGTGGTTTTAGCTTCTCCATCGGCCACAGACGGGGTGTACCAGCGCTGGGGGAGGGAGGCCAGAGGGATCTCACTGACCTGTGAGAACGGGGGA